CAACATTCTGCTGATGTCAAAACCGTAAAAAGCGTGCTGTCCTAACTTCTGCCCGCTAGAACCACCAGAGTGAGAGGAGGTTCTGCTCGGTTGGAATCATGGAGACACTTTTGGACCGAGGCTGAACCGAGCCGAAACGCAAAGCTGCTGCCAGGGTGGACAGTAGTTGTCGCTCCGGTTTAAAACGCTCACGGTTCTGTTCCCCCTCGGAAAACTTGTGCATGACAACTTTWCACTTAGCTTCAACTCTGTTTCTGATGAAAATAGAAAGTTCTGCCGACATTCTTGCTAACTTGTTAACGCAGCATGTTGTTGTGATCACGTGAGCGCTACATGCTGGATCCAAGCGCTGCTGGATAGAAACACTGGAGCGGAGTCAGTGAATTGCTGGAACGGACTGCTAATATCGGAGCACTTGTATCGCACATTTTTTATGCAGGCCGATAAAATCCGATACTCATTTTTTGGCTGATATCGGACCGATCTCCGATATCAATATCGGATTGGGACACCCCTATGTGTGACAATATATATAATGTTTAAAATTGATAAAAATTAAACACCCTGAAGTATTTTAAAATMTTTTGTTTTACACTTTAAGTAAATGTTTATCACTTTGGATCTCTTTAAAGCTTTTCTTCATTTAACAAACCTTTGCTTTTGTTTTCTTGTGTTCAGTAATTTATAAAATATGCTGCTGAATATTTTTACTATTACTTACTTGTGTTTTAGGCCTGGTACTGCACAGTATATTAAAAGTGCTGCAGTCTGTATTTCCTCTCATGTTGGTTTAATACTGACTGTATCGTTTTTTTTTTAGAGTAAGTTCCTGAGACATTTTTTCTTTCTTCAGCAACTAATCTTCCCCCAAAACTTTATGATTGAAGTCATAAATACCTTTGGATTGTGATCATAAATGAAGTTCAGGTTGATCCTCAGCTTCCTCATACATTCAAAAGCTTCTCTGAATCTCAACCTGTTAACAAAAACATTAAATCAGACCGAGGAAYGACTCTTAAAACTATATTAAGTTTGTGTTTAAACAACATTTAAAAAAAACCATTACAACGTAAATGTGTGAGTAAGCTTTGTCTGAATCCATCATTAGGGTCAAACTCACTCATCCAACCACCTCCTGAGCTGAGCCAACACCAGCGCTCTGTGGTGGACCGTCTCCAGGTTCCCCCGAGGCATCTGGACACATGAGGTCAAATGTGACGCGTTAAAAGTTTCTTCTGGTAAAAAACTTTAAATGTGTCGTGTGTTTAGTTCAGTTGACCTGTAGAACCACTCGGGTGTCCTGAGGCACCACGGTGACGATCCTCGACCCTCTCTCCACTCGCCGAAGCGTCTCATCATTCTGACCTCCATCAGAGGCCAAAGCTGCCTGCAGCCCTGAGGGGTCAAAGGTCACCTTCACTTTAACTGTAGCMGAAACTCTACCAGCAACAAGAACCTATTTGACATAAAGCCCTCATAGGACGCACCACAGGGTAACAAGGTATGAATCAGCCCAGTCCCCTTAGGTACCATGTCCGTACTCTCATATGTACAGTACCCTATAAATACGATGCAAAGACCCTGTCTGTACAACCTAAGTACCCTGTAAAATCCTTATATGTACCCACAAAAATACCTGTAATTATCCTCATTGGTACCCTGTAAGTTCAATGTAAGTACACTGTGATTACCTTATGGGTTCCCCAAAAGTACCATGTTAATATCCTGTAAGTACCCCTTAGTATACTGCAAGTGTAATTACCCTGCAAGTACTCAGTAATTACCTGGTTAAGTACCCTGCAGGTACCCTTTAATAACATGTAAATAACCCTCATGGGGTATAGTGTAATTACCCTGTAAGTACTCAGTAATTACCTGGTTAAGTACCCTGCAGGTACCCTGTGATAGCCATATAAATGACCCCAAGAGTAAAGTGTAATTACCCTGTAACTACATAGTAATTACATAGCCAAGTACCCTGCAGGCCCCCCTGTAATAACTATGTAAATAACCCCAAGGGTACAGTGTAATTATCCTGTAACTACATAGTAATTACATAGCTAAGTACCCTGCAGTCCCCCTGCAATAACTATGTAAATAACCCCAAGGGTACAGTGTAATTATCCTGTAACTACACTGTAATTACCTGGTTAAGTACCCTGCAGGCCCCCCTGTAATAACTATGTAAATAACCCCAAGGGTACAGTGTTATTACCCTGTAACTACATAGTAACTGCATGGTTAAGTACCCTGCAGGTCCCCTGTAACAAACATGTAAATAACTCTATGGGTACAGTGTAATTACCCTGTAAGTACTCAGTAATTACCTGGTTAAGTACCCTGCAGGTACCCTGTAATAACCATGTAAATAACCTCATGGGTACAATGTAATTACCCTGCAAGTACTCAGTAATTACCTAGTTAAGAACCCGGCAGGTACCTTGTAATCTTGTAATAACCATGTAAATAACCCCATGAGTACAGTGTAATTACCATGTAAGTACCCTGTTTGTCACTATTTTACACTCTGTCAGACCAGAATCTCTGCAGATCAAAAACCTTAAAAAAATGGGTACGACAAAAAAATTCTCCACAAATGTTTCAATACAGACTGCTGGAAACAACAACAACAACAACAACAACAACAACAACAACAACAATAATAATAATAGAAAACAACTACTGATGTTACAGAAATAACCTGATAATTTTAACACTAAGAGCCTGCTCAGTCTAAACTTGACAACGTTGTAATAAAATCTGGTGTTTGATGTGATCCACAGTAACCTGCGTGTTCGTCTCGGTCTCACCTCTGACGGTGAGCGTGCTCAGCTGCAGGCAGCGGCAGGTGTGGGAGTGCGTGGTGAGGAGGAGGAAGTCGTCACAAACGGCAAACGAGCTAACATTGGAGGCGAGCTGAGGAAGAAACCAAACTGAAATAAATATAAACTCTTAAAATAAAATCACATTAGTCTCTAACTCCTAACAGAWGGAGACGTCAGACCTCGGTGTCTCCTGCGTACAGGTGGGATCTGTCTGTGAGGCCGAGCAGGTTCTCCTACAGGTGTGACGCAAAGATGAGAGAAATATTTAAACTCCTGCTTTATTACAGGTCATTATAATCAGTAATGTAACTGTATCTAAACAAGATTAATTCATATAAACACACTGATTTCTACAGCCAAACTAAACATCCCCAGCAGCTGAGTCTCCAGTGTCAAAGTGTTTAGTGAGTAATCCCAGTCATTAACTGATWTCAGCAGGAGTTAACTCAGATTAGCTCAGCCAGCAAGTGGCAGAAACGATTTCTTAAGGGATTAACAGGTCCAGAGAGCAGCAGCTTCTGAGTTCAGGGACAAAAAAAATAAAAACAAAATGTTTCCTAACAACAAAAACGACAAATTACACGAAAGCTGAGGTGTTTGTACCGTTCCRCTGATGCTGCAGAGAGCCGTCTGAACGCAGGGAACAGGGAAGTTGATCCTGCAGCCGCTGGAGTCACACCAGTCCTGTACTGACAGCTCAGGACCATCTGGTTAAAAATACATGGATTTTATTTTGGAACTGGCTTCACTGCATGTCATAAAGGAAGTTAACTGTATTTCAGCCTTTAAACTACAGAAAACACCAAGAATTTGAAAGAAATAAACCAATTCAAGCTGAAGTGCACTTTACATAGCAATCTACATGCATATTCTTCAAATACAAAAAGTCAAAAGAAAGTTGGAAAAATACACACGATTTGACCCATTTTGTCCTTCAACTGGCATATTTTTTTTTACTTGGCTCAGCCAAACTGAAACAGGAAGAGACATCAAAGGGGAAGTCTTTAACAAAGAAAGCTCTCTGATCTTTGTTTATTGAAACATCTGAACTCTGACTTCTTCATCTCTGATCGTGACTCAAAATAATCTAAAGAAACAGATTCTTCTCTACAGTCTGTGTTGTTAGCCTTGTAACAACGCTCCGTTTACATTCAGACACTCCCCTTTGACATCACTTCCTGTTTTTTACAGGCAAAAACCTCAACAACTGTTCATCTCAGCGACATGAAATTTATTTTTCAATGTTTTGTCAATGAAATCTTTTCAAAAATGCATTTATATACTGTATATTACACAAATTTGACGTCACAGGCACTTTAAAATATTAGTTTAAATCAGGGCTATTCAACTAAATTGATCC